AGAACCCGGGTTTCGCCAGAAACGTCGAATAGTTGGGGAAAAACAGCACAAACCCCGCCACAACGACGTCGCCTCCGATTTCGGATCGGAAAATGTCCTTCTCTGAGTCCTCAATGGGGAGGTCCAGATGGAAAGTTTTGAGAATAGGGGAAAAATTAGAGGGGTCCTGAGGAGTGGGTGGAAAGGGGTCAGGGGAGACTTCAAGGATGAAAACGGTGAAGGAAGTGAAGGGTGGAGGTGGGCTTGGGGAAGGGAAGAGAGTGAACGCGAGAGAGGCTTCGGTGGCGGAGAATTGATCGGTCAGGCGCTCGTAGGTGGCCATTTGGTGGATGAGCTTATGGAGTTGGGGACATCGAAAATGGTGCCTAACCGGATGCGGGCAAAGAGTGGGTGGCGGGGCGGGGCGGTTTCTGGAACGATGGTCTCGGGAATGGCAGCAGGGGAGGGAGGTGGTGGCGGTGCTGCCGCTGCCATTTCTTTCTTATTACTATTTACTTTTTCGAGTTCAGAGAAAATGGAAGAGTCACACTGCGAGCTCTGTGCTGTGCGGTTTTTCGTGGGATTAGAGGTTTTGTAGTTACTTTGAGGGGTTTTTGCAGGCATATATGTAAACTTTGAGAACTTGAAATTGCTATTTTATTCCCTTGGGGACATTTTTGGATTTTCATTCATCTCCTTAGGTCCAATTTTGGGTTGATTAGTTATCGAATCAAGAACCAAGCAAATCAAGATCAAACAAACTCTTATCAAACTGAGTCCAATTCGATATCGAATAATTTAATTTATTTTTTAATCCTGTTAATATATAGTGTCTAATGATAATCTTATCAAATTGAGCTTCATTTTGAATATAGAATAATTTAATTCATCTTTCAATCATATCCATATATAGAGTGTTGCATCCATACTAGAGGAATCGCCAAAGGCCTTGTTTGGACAGCCATTTTCTGCCGAAAAATTGCGTCATTTCCGTAATCACATTTCTCTATTACATTTTTTCCTCACATACATCAAATCGCTATAGTAATTTTTCTACAAAAAATCCTAGAAAATGCAATCCAAGCACAATTTTAAACCATTTGGAAGTTCGAAAAAGCAACTCTGTCCCGTATTTCACCATGAAACTTTCACTTTATTATAGTGGAGTTCTCCAAATCCTACCAATCAAATATTCCTACAAACCAGGCATTGGCCAGGTCTAACAATGTGGATTTAGCTTAGACCCTTTAACAGGGTATTGGCAGATTTATTCCAGAAAAATATGCACAGGCAGGTTTCTTATGCAAAGAATTGGCAAGGATTTAAAGGGGGAAAAAAAGGCCCTACTCCTACAATACTGCAGCCGCTGCTAGAGTTTCTCCTACCCAGGACCAGACGACATAAATGTCGCTTAGGGGGCTGGATACCATCTACTCTTTTCAAGAGTTTTTTTTTTTTTTTTCTAACATCACTACACTTCTATTTCCCTCCAAGTCACTGAAGTCAGTGAGCTTTAAGTTCTCCAAAGACATATAGTATTAAGATTTAGCTCTGCTCTTTCTGAGAAAGAACAACCATTTCCTTGTAAGAGAAATGGAGCAAACCTAAATTCCCCGTGTGGTGAATCTTTTTAAAGTGGTGCGTCCAAACGAAATGGAGGAAACAAAACCTTCTGCAGCAACTTCACAGGACCCATAACAAGAACTTGTTGCTATTTTACAAGTTACACATATACCTCACTTGCCTCGTGGGGTGAATCTTCTTAGTTAAGTGAAACAAAATGGTAAGGACACACGGACATTTCAAAAATGGACAAAAAATAAAATGGAGTATGGAAAATAGAAAATGAAACAATAAGATGATCCTCGAAGCAGTGTAATAAATTCTGCCAAAACAGATAATAGCAACTCTCACTTTTTCATCAAACTGATACATTCCCCGGCTATTGTACAGGAAAATACCATTGGTAATACAATGGAAAAGCCACCTGCAAACAATTACAGAGGAGGATTAAAGCCCTCTCTTGCTGAAGGTGACCTGGACCCTGTGCTATCCCTGCCAAACCTTGACATACTCCTCCCACTTTTAGGAGTGCCCATGCCTGGACTTGAACCCCGATAACTTGCTCGGAGGGATTCATCAACAGCATGAGAAGATTTTGCAATTGCGTTTCGCACAAATTTTTGAGCAGCAGGAGAGAGAGTTCGTGCACTGGACTAGCACTTCCCCCTCTAACTGGTGAGGGCAACGGTGGTTTCTGAAACATTTTTGACCTCTCCCTCAACTTACGGGCAGCCTCCCTAGACAAAGAGTGAGCCTTAACATCCCTTGAAGGTGCCATTGGGATCTTAAACTGTGGCCCATCTCCGCTACCGCCAATATCAATAGGCGTATCCTCTGACTCCAACCTCAATGGCGTACCTTCAATTTCACCCCATGTTATAAATGGCGACTCATCCACACCCGGAGCAGGCGATGGAGTCCTAACGAAACTGTAACCATTCTCTGCCTTCTTCCCCGACTCAACATAAAATGGATTGGGCGTCTTCCTCAAATCTTCCAAATCATACTTCTTCACCTTATCGCCATCCCTAACAGACAGAGGAAATGGCGTGGCCCAGCAACCGGGGTATAAAGCACCTCAACCGCATCATCTTCTTTCTTGTAATTGACCACTTTACCCCGGAACCTCGTGTTAGTCCTGTTAATCTCCTTGGTCAATCCCTTGAGCCTCTCAGCCATCTCCTCCTCCGTCAAGGGGGCTTCACCCCTATCCGCTGGATGATACATCAACAAATTCTTGGCAGTGTACTTCCACCCTTCCAACGTAGCCACAGGCTGATCAGACGTTCCAAACCATCCGTTGCAACGCGCTCCCTCTTCGCACCCTCAATCAACTTCACATCCCCTTCCTTTTCGCCTTCCAACAAGAACCCAAACCTCTCCTTCCTCTTCCTATTTACTTTCTCCATAATCTTGGAAAAACTCTCGTTATCCTCACTCGTATACCTCCTGAAGAACTCATCTAACGTCAACGAAGTATCCACCTCGCCCTCCCATCACTCCCATCACCCAAACGTTCGCCAATCGTGGTCCTATCGCTCCCTACCCGGGACCAGGGGTGGTTCTATGCTCGTTGAACTTTCCAGCACTATTTTCATCAAAACCAAAAGGGGTAAAACTAGAATTTCTGAAAAAAGTGGAACCAGGGGTTAGGGTGTGCGTCCGTGATTTAGTACTAGTACCTGGATCAATCGAGGATTCCCCGGCGCTGCCGCGGCGGCGTTCGAGGATTTTCAACTGGGCATCTCGGATTAGAACCGGGTCGCCAGAGCGGACGGCTTCGAGCCAATCGAGACGGTCCCGGAGCTTGGGGATATCGGGGAAAAAATCGCGTTCGATGATTTTCTCAATGGCGGCGACGTAGGAATCTTCATCGAGGACTTTCGGTCGCTTTGGCTGCCTGATTGAAGGAGCAGAAGTAGGAGCTGTAGTAGTTGTGGCAGTGCTATTATCACTAACGGAACTGGGGGTTTCCGGTGCCGGTGATGGGGAAGGGAGGTGGCGAGGGGAGTGGCCGGGCGATAAAAGCATGGTGGTGGCGGCGGAATGGAATTGGTAGAGACAGTGAGGGAATTAGGGATTTGGTGGGAATTGGGGAAATTGTATTAACTGCAGAATTGAAAGGATTTGAGCCCCAGGATTGCGAGTTCCAACCCAACCGACTTCCAAGTTCCAAGTGGTGGGGTGGGGCTCGTAGTCGTGGCAACTGCAAGCCGGCGTCTTACAGCTTTAGTCCGTTCCCACAGAATGACCTGTATTTTTCTATTTCTTCTTGTTTAAAAAAAAAATTAGTGGTAAAAATGGTAGTATAATAGAAGTGGAATTTTCAAACTCCGACGTGAAAATCTCTACAATTACAATTATAAGAGACTATAAAAAGTTGCAAAATATGCATTGGACAATTTTACGGATTTGGAATGGATGGAGTCAATCCCAGTGTGAGACTAGTCTCACAGGCTGTATGGCATAGAAACTTTGGATACCAACGGATGTTGGTGCAAGTGAAAGGGGGTTGCATCCGTTAATCATGAGGGTTTTGGGTTCGAAATTCATGGGAATAGAAAAAATAACGTTTGGAGAACTTCTTCTACAAGGGGTCTGATCCGACTCGAACAAGATTAATCGCAAACCGTAAAACGGATGCGGACACCTATGAATTATACCTAAAAAAAAATAGAAATTTTGGATATTTGCTCATTACAAGTGTAGATGTTTATATTGTCTTGATAAATTTCAGTTGCCATTTTGACAAAAAATATATATATATAAAAATAAAGCGAGTAAAAAAGTACTAACAGAACTCTACAATTAAAGGAAAAAAAGAAAAAGAAAAGGTGGAACAGTTTTTTCTCCGCACTCTTTTCATCCCCCATTCCCATTGCCAGACTTGGTATTTAAACTCTGAATTTGACTAGGAGATCAGTCTTCATGTGGTCACTAGACCACCTAGTTGAACAAATACAATTAAATTTTAGATTTATTGTTATTGAATTTTTTTAAAAAAATGAACTTGGGCCGAGTTAGCGACGTACTACTTTTCGGTTATGAATCTCGTTTTTCTGATTTCGAGTCTTGAAAGTATTCCTAATGGTACTTCCTTGAACTTCTAACCCATGCATCATGCTTTCCAAACCTTAATCAAAGTATGGCTGGACAGGAATTGGTCAAAAAATGGCAACCTCCTGAAACAGAATCACTGGAGATGCAGCTTGGACAGAAGAAGAACCAGGAACCGGTATTCTGGTCAGAAATGACGAAGGAGAAATCATGGTTGCAATGGCTGAAGGATTGGCAAGATCATGTCTATTGCGTTGGCAGAACTGGCTGCAACAAGTACTGGTTTGCAGTGGGCAAATGCTGCGTTAAGCACTGGTTGCATTAATGTAAATGCTGCTTTTTGTGATATGAACGGGTAAAAAGTTTCTTTTTCCCTCAAAAAGAGAAAAACCTTAATCATCTTTTTTCTCAAAAACCAAGCAAGGCCTGCGTATGCATGTTTAAGCCTTGTTAATAAATTAGCCAACTATAAAAACAGGGAATAATAATGAGTGCCTGTTACTCCCCTACACAAGCTAATCTAACTAACGTTACAGAGAAGCACGGATTAACAACAGGACCACCTGCTGTTGTGCTACACTCTCTACTCCAACTAAATGCATGCGCATGCAAAACATTTGAACCGAATAACAATGGACCTGTAAATTATGAGCAGAGACGTCAGTGAGGCTCAATGATACTTCTTTCCCATTTGAATACATCAAAATTTTCCACATCTTGCAGTGAAAGAAATTGCGAACATAGAGAATTATTTCCAAGTTTCTTCAAAATCAACACCAGGAGCTTTTGGCACGCATGAATTTCTTCCAATTTCTCTACTGCAGCACGCTTCAAGGAAAGATCTCTCCAAGGCTGGTAGTATGACCTGTACAAGCAGATTGATGATGGAAAAAGCAGCACAACCAAATGAATATCTGCTATTCTGTAGGTTGCAGAATTGGGCAAAAGTGAGAGGAAATGTAAGAGAATAAAACAATGTTACCATCTCCACGAAGGATTAGCTTCAGCTGGGCTGTGTATCTTCTGGCAGAGTGATACCCAAGGACTACCATCGCTATGTCGAGAGTCTGAATCTGACAAACAACACGACAAAAAGCAAAGACTTAGAACTATTATCAACTTGTAGTGCCAGGCTAGAAAAACGACCACTTAAAATTGGGTAATTTTGAGAGCCTTCACAGTAAATTGGGCTGCAAATCCCTAAATGTAGGACCTCAAATCACAGTTCATTCGCAAGCAAATTTCTAAGTTAAAGAACTTGATGAAAGAGCTTCAGGATATAGCATCCAAATTGGACTTTACACATGTTAGGAACTTCCAGCATTGTAATTGCACTAAGCTGAATATTTATTTAATCGACTGAACCAGGTCACAAGAAAGGTATTAAGCGTCAGCAGCAACTTTCCAAAAAAAATTTTTCTTTTTGACTGAACCAGGTCACATGAGAGGTAGTAAGAGTCAGAACCCCGGTACCACCAAAAGCAGGAAAGTTTAAACCCAGGACTTGTTTTCCCACATAAAATAAAAATCCCATTTCATGTCAGCAAAATGCCCACTTTACATGGAACTAAAGCATGGAAAGGAAAACAATTCCTGAGACCGCAGGTTCAAGCAAAAGCACTGGAAATCAATACATTAACATTCCTCCTTAAAGACACTAGCAGGCAAGAAGCAAGGTTTTGTTCCTCTAAACTTTTAATTATATATACAAGCAGATGTCATGTCAATGGGAAAAACAACCAACGTTATAAGATAGAAATTTATAGACGCAAAACTGTCTAATACTAATTCATGCAAGAATAGACTAAACCTGATGAGGAGGGACCAGAAAATAACAGGAGAGAAAGTGCAGCAACAACTGATGGAAGAAAATTCCACTTTATGCCTGCAAGCTGCTGTAGGTAAAAATTGATACAGCTAGTATCTCTTTGCTGCCAAAATTCTCCTGGTTTTCTCCACATTCCTTCACACAATAGTCCATGATACAATGCAGATTATCAAGCTTTAATATTTCAGAAGAACTAGTGGAATTCAAATCACTCAATTTCCATGAAAGCCTTCCAAGAATCACTGAGGCAGTCAGCCATCTTAAAAGCTTTGATACAAGATCCTCTTCAGATTGTTCTGAAAATCTCAAGGCATTGCTATACATTGCTTCAGATTCAGGCACCTCCATCAAGTTTGACTGCACAGCAGTTGATATTGCCCAGCTAACAAACTTCAAAAGCTTATTTTTATCCTACAAGCACATCGAAGTAATAGGTCATCTTAAGGAATAGAAAAAGATAAGCAGGGTCTAATCACAAATATGAGAAGTTGATGGTTGAACTCTTATGTCTTGTTCACTACATATAGAGTTTCATGAGGTAAAGCACTTGTGAAGTGCCATTGCTCATCTTTCTCAATCATCACCAGCTAGCTAGTAATGCCAATCACAGTCTCATGATATACTATAAGGACTTGAAATAATTGACCTAGTAAATCAATGCATACATGTGCATGTGGAAAATCCATACATGGGAAATTCCAATTCTGTACAATGAACTCAATCAACTTTTTACATCAGAATTTTTACACAATCTCAGCCACTTACAGACCATGTCATAGTCAAAAAACATTGACATTTCTGTACATGTGCATGGTTTGACAAAAGAAGCTGGTGTTCAAATTCAACCCCACAATAGCAAAGGATATGCAATTTGTCTACTACAATACAATTGCATCACATCATTCTCAAAATTTTAAGGGGCCCAAACAATTTTTCACATCAGACAATCTAGATATAATCAGCCACTTAGAGATCATGTCACAGTCAAAAACATTGACACTTCCGTACATATGCATGATTTGACAACAGATGTTGATATTCAAATTTATCTACCACAATAGCAAAGGATATGCAATTACTCTAGCGCAATACAATTGCATGACATCATTCTCAAAATTCTAAGGGGACCTGCAATAGCTTCACACTTTAGGATTCATTTTCAAGAAATTCAACTTCAGAAGGCTTCAACAGCAGAACAAAAGTCTGATTCAAAATCCAACAATTTCTTGGAAATGTGGGAGGAATTCTTAAATTGCCCAAGATATACAATGGACTGTTTCACTGTGCCCAAAAAAAAAATCTTAGTTTAAGCCACTACTTGTGCGATTTATACCAGCTATTCCATCTGGCTATAAGAGTAGGAAAACCATTTAAAAAAGACATTTAACAGATACTAAAAGCAGTTACCCAAATTTAAGTGCTCCAGCAAACTGTTGAAAAATAATAACAGAAGAAAGTAGCCAACAATCGTTTAGGCAAAGAACTCACACATCTCAGGTAGGCTCAGCAACAAACAGACGCTCTTAACAATCCAAAATTATATGCTTTCAACAGTAAATTTTGACATTGGCAATTCACCAATTCGAAATTGCACAGCGGGTCAACAGGATTTGGTAATTTGAGAAAGAGGATATGTGAAAGGTATTAGACAGAAATGTATTCTCTGTTTCCAAAATGCTTTTAGCTGTGGTCAGTTTACAAGTGGATGGCTGCATTGATCATTTGTTTTGTGGCTCAGATACACCATAGTGCATCAATAGCTGCTTATCCGAAAGCAAAATTTGCTACCAAGTTAGACATGTCAATTTGTCATACAAAATTACCATGCATTAGAATGTAGAAGCAGTCAGTTCAACAAGCTTTTAACTATAATAGCTGGAGATTGACATACTTATTGCAAAATTAAAGATCTTTCATAAAAAAAATTGATAGAAACCAAACTATTGGTTCACAAAGTAAAAGTTAAGGGTTTCTAAAGTGTATTATATCAAAGTTCACGATGTCCATTCTGCACAAATATATATATATGAACAATGTTTGAAGAGGTGAAGAACATAACAATCTTATAAGATGATGCTTATAGGTTTTCTTGATAACTTTCATGAGGACCATCGAGTTTAACAGAATAATTGCCATGCAAAATTATTGCAAACATGCACATGCACATGCACATGCATGCGTGCCCACACGCGCGCACACACACACACATAGAGAGAGAGAGAGAGATATACCATGTGAAGTATAGAAACTGGAGGAGTACTCATAAGGACAGCTTTCAGTCCAATCTCAGCAGTAGAACTGAAGGTCCCACTGCAACAGACATCAACAGCTTCGTACAAATGGTATAAACCTTCAAAAGATATTGTAAAATGCGGCTGATATACTTTTCTTTTCTGTGAGATCTTCAGGGTTGACATCAATAGTTCTAGAATCAAATCAATGATTCTGGTTTTCTCTTGTATATGTTTAGAACAACCAACTAAGATTCTGTACAGATGAGCTGCAAGTTCAGAAAGCTGCTCTAGGGCATATTTTTGCAACCACTCACTAGTATTTCTAGACATAATAACATCATTGGCTACCTGAAAAAAAGACACACCCCTACATAAGAGGGAAAATGATTTGCATTGAAAGCCATGACTTCAATTATAAAGAGAGATTAAAAGAAATTCAAATAACATATACAAGCCCATTTGTAATCATCTTATTCCACAATGTGAAATTCTAATGCGGATCCCATCTCTGGAGGTTGATATTTGATTTTCAAAAGCAAAAACATATATTTTAACAGAACATGCTTTCTAAAACCGTGTTCATAGTTATAAATGATTAAGGTCATTTCTTTTATGATAGGAAAGGAACTCATAAAATGCTGGAAGGAGTAGGAGCCAGCTTCTGTTAAAAGCCTAAAGTTTGAAGAAAACAGAAGACAATGATGTCCGAAGCAAGCTACACACCACCATTAACCCAAAAAGAAAGAGAACAAATTAGGTTCCCATCCCAGAGAAAACAATAAAAGACATGATGCCAAAGTTTTCCAAGACTTATTCATCTTTTGGAGTATACTTAGCAAAATAGTTTGTAAAGAAGAAAGTATAAGAAAAAATGATTATACCTCCAGAACCATAGCTAACTTAGCAAATGAAAAACTTCTCTGGTCCCTGAGTAGAATCCCGTAAAAAGATGCAACATGAGAAGACAGCCAAGAAATTATGCCACAGCGTACAACCAAATGCCATGCAAGCTTATTTATTTTGACGGACTTTTTCACCATCTGCAGAATAAAAAAATAAAATTTAGCTAAATGATAGTTCTCTAAAGAGAAAGTATCAACTCAGTGATAAGTAGTACTGAAGGCCATGAAAATTTCTCCTAGATCAAAATGCCCAGAGTTATAATATAACTAGCAGCTAAGCACACTGACTAGTTTTCGTGATGCATCTTCTATAAGCAATGTTAAAGACAGATGAATGTCGACAGAATCAAATCAAACTTCATCTTCTTGTGGTCTAATTATATAAGTATATAAGATGCTAATGCAGTGCAAATTTAAGGGCTGCTGCTGAGCAAAAAGAGAGGAAGAGGAAAAGGAAAGTAAAAAAGGATAAAGACATTAAAGCTGTGTTCCTCGAGCTTAATTTTATTTCCCATAAACAGATAAGCAAATTTGAGAACTATATTCTTCCTTTTCTCTGAAGAAGCAGAGAAGGGAATTTCATTGTAGGATAATCATTGGCCTTGTGAGGTATGGAATACTTGGCAACAGATGCTTAAGAAGAAAGAAATATAGAGCAAGGGAAAGATAATATGTTTTTTCCAATTCCACTTTCTTTAATCTTTAACGATTAGAAGTATAGCAGTGACATCACGGGCAGAGATATTATCAATTTACCGTTCTTACTAGTAAAACATGATAAAGCATTATAAAGGTCACACAGAACATAGAACATAAGAACTAATCGACAATGGCCTATCAATTATTTTCAGCTTTTGACGAGAGAATAGGCTGGGTAGTAAAAGACGGTAAACATTTATCAGGAGCAACATCTTATCCAAACCCCCCTACCACCAAACACACCCCCCCCCCCCAAAAAAAAAAAAACAAAGAAAGAAGAAAGAAGCAGCTTATGAGAAAAGATTAACATTGATTACCTCAACGATCAGTTCCTTTGACTCGTCATCGGAAAGAGGAGAGGCATAAAAATTTAAAAGGATCTCAAAATGGAATTTCTGACAAGTATTTGAGCATCATCATCCATAGTCAGAGATGTGTTTAAAAGCCGAAGCATCCACAACCTTTCTGACTTAAAAGTAACAGAGCTACTCCAGAAGAATTCTTGGAATAATGGTACACCCTTTCACCCAAAGAAAATAAAAATGAGGAACCCTCAACAGAGGTTGAAAAGATATCAAATCAAAAGCATTTGAATCGCTCAATTTATTTGTACAACTCTAGTCCTAAGGTATGCAATATAACAGATATAGACAAAATAACATGGAAAAGCTCTGCAATAGAAGTGATACCTTCATATTAGCACCTGATGACGCATCAGGCATTTACTTATAGCTGAATAATGATCATGGGAAGAATCTAACAGAACAAAAGAAGCTTCCGCAATGAATACAGCAGTTATGGAAGGAATCCTCTGACACTCTTCTTCTATACCATTTTGCAAGTATGATACTAAGAGCCGGAGTCGCATCACATCCTTCCTCTTGCGACATTTCTGTATCCAACAGTTTAAATTATTCCAAGGATAAAGAATATCATTCAAACTACTATACCTAACACAAGCTTTTCAGGCATTTCTGGAGGCCAAAGAAAATGATTGCTTCTTAGTCACTGTATGTATTCCTCTACTTGGTTTAATGACTCGTACCAAAATTCAAAACAACATAAACACACAATGATACCAATAATTGGCTCATGAATAGAATGCCTTAATTCTATGGGCCTTCCAATATGCAAACAATTACAGACGAAAACAATAAAAAAACCAAAACTACTTCTACCTCCACAGCACTCTTAAATCTCACAACAGCCTCATAGCCCAATTTCCTTGTATCAGCATCAGGAGAAGACAAACTGATAAATGTAATTGCAAGCAAAACCCAAACTAGCAAACTCCAGGGGCTCAATATACTCCATTGCAAGACTGTGAATTGAAAAACGCAAGATGAAAACTGGATCATAAAGTTGCACCTTCTTAGAATTTGCATTGTAGCCCTGCACAGAAATTATAATCAGATTCACAAAAGACCCACCACTAATCTCTGCAGCCCCCCCCACCCAACCTGCCAAGGTCACATACAAAAAAAAAGAGGAGGGAAAAAAAGACCAAAGAAACGACAAATATAATATTCATACAGACGTACGGCTAACCTATCCATCAAAACAGTAATATGCTAGGTATACAGTGGTCTAATTCACAATATACCTCATCAGAATCATTTGTTTGGAGCTTGCTCAAGCTCCCATCAGCAAATCTATCATGAGGAAAACAAAGGACTGTCATTGCACATAATTGGTGTCAATGGGAAGATTTTCTCTAAATTGAATCCTTCGTCTCTCTCCAACTACTTCATTATCATATGAGTTACTCAAAGAAGATACACTTTGCTTTTGTTCCCTTTCTTGTCTCACCTTCAGAGAAGCAGAGCCCATAGAAATCCATTTCAGCAATACTTCAGAGACTGATTTATCAATAGCCTCAATTTCATTCATGAGGTATACATTTCCAAATCAATCTCATCCATGGTTGCTCCATAAGAAGACAAAAAGCACCAAAACAATTCCTTCAAATTTAAGCCATTGGATGTTTCAGAATCAAGATAATGTTGCTGACCCAAGATATGTATTAGTACTCTGAGCAACTTAATCAGTTCCAACTTCTTCATGTGAGGCCCAGTTTCATGAGCATCCTTTTTTCCATCAACCGTGTTTTTTCAGTATGAAGAACAGTAAATAACCTCATAATGCTGGTGCCGGAGCAAAACTCATACCAAATTGAGTACAAACAGTTGATGAATGGGCAAATAGAATGGTTGGAGCAAATTGAGAGTGAGCAAGTAACAGCTGGAGAATTGAAAGCACAAGAACTTTCCTCAGATAGTGAAATAAGAACAATTCTAAGCATCCTAATTGTGGTAGGGTCATCAAACCTATGAAGAAGAGAATATTGGCAAGTTGGTCTAAGAAAGAGCGAATGCAATTCAACCAGGCAATCATGCATTTCTCTTACCAATGCTACTATATATTCTTAGCAATGAAGATCTCCAAGAATCTAAACAATGACGACCTTATGTTCTCTCCTTGCCTGCATGTATGAAAATTCTCCACAAGACGTTGCCATGAATGGACCAGCATACTTAAAAATCGGATTCTCAAAATGCTAACTTCTGATTCAATTCCTTTTTTCTTTCCATCTTTCACTACAGATTGAAGATTATTATGCTCTGGAAATAACAACATCCAACAGAGGCATATCTTTGCAATAATTTTGTTCACAAAGTTCAAAGACAACTCAAGAGAACAAACACCAATTTCTCTAGCATCGCAGTCCAGAAGATCATTCTGTGCACTCGCATGTGGGCAAACAGAATCAAATGTACTCAATAGCCTTTTCATTTTCACCAAGTGTCCACTCACAGCAAGGTAATGACGCATCAGCAGTACTGCTTTTCCAAGAAGACTGGAAGAGAAAAGGTTAGAAAAATCTTCCATGCATAAAGATGAGCACTCAACAAGTTTTATCTCAAATATCTCTTCCGAAACAAAACTCTTCCAGTTAGAGAAACCACGCAAAAGGATCTTCCAAAAGAAAGAAGAAGTGTTTTCAACATGCTTGCCAAATTGGCCCCCAAATTTCAGAAAATTTGACCTCAAGTATAACAGAACAGTTGGCAGAAGCATCAAGAACTCTTCAGAGTACTGAGGCCGATTGCAGTTTTCTTCCTTGTTGACCTTAAGAGCTTGATTATTACTAATTTTACCAGAAACCAAATGTCCAAATACACAAAGATGCAGGGAGCTCATCTCAGACAGAAGAAACAAGAAGTCACACTTAGTCTTGGTTGTCTTGTCCAAGCAATAAGAAATAAAGTTCACAGGAACACTGGGTAGAAGTCTTGAAGTAGCCATAACAAAAGGTAAGCTGGTCTTCTCCATACATTTATGCATTTTGATGATCTTAACAGCTTTGAATAAACATATATCAGCAACTTCTAGTTGAGTGTGAGTGGCAATCTCAAATATGCTGTTAAAAATTCTCTCAAAAAGGGTAATTTCAAAACTTCTGTTTCCAGTACCCATAAAGAAATTGAATAATGTCCTCTTTGCATGTGGCTCTAACATATATAAAGAAAGAGAATCAAAAGCCCATGAAGCAATTTGTAATCCAACAGACAAACCACATCTTTGACAAGAAATGGAAACTGCAGTATCATTTAGATCAATTCTGGAGAACAACCAGTGCACCAAATTGAGCAACTCAAAGGGACATATGAATTCACTCAGACTATGCAAAGCATACAATGTAGGAATTAGAGGCATCAAATCATCTGTCTTTCTGGAATCTGTGAACCTCGCCTTAAATGTCAAAAATAGCTTCTGCACCAGAGCCTTGAAAGCCTTTGCAATCCGTTCAGTAGAATGATCAACCACAGATGGTGATCTACATTTACTAAATACATGAACCAAAAGCTCAGATGTGGTTCTTCTTAACAACTGCAAAATATGATGATCTATTTTACGAACACCCCGTTCAGCATACTGAAGAAAGGTTTCTGGAGGTTTCATAAAAATCATGTCACCAACATCATTATCGGTATGCAAAGGCCATTCCAGCAATGCAGTGAGTAAAGGGTGGCCAAGAATTATTTCAGCCACTTCTCGAATATGACCAGATGATAAAGGAGGCAAAACACGCGGGGAGCAATCAGGACCAAATTTTTCAACAAATGATTGTTTTACTATGTGCTTTGCAAGAAAACAAGATGATTCACAAAGTTTTTCAAGTTCATCAGATGGTTTGATACTATAGGCCAATCGCGCTTGAAGCAAGCAAAAGAGAAGACGGCAGAGAGAAGAGACAGAGAAGTCAGGTGTACTCTCAGTGAATTTATCCAGAAGCAAATTCTGCACTTTTGAGTGACCAAGCAAATGCAATCCATCAGTGAAAAAAATAGCTGGAAAGAGCACATGAAAAGGAGCATTCTTTACTAAAAAAGAGAATGCAATAGAAGCAGAATCTGGTGAATCATCAAGCTCATTAGCTATTGTCTGCCCTTCTCCATCATGAACTCCACTTATAACTTTGTCAACTCCAGCAAAGCATATTTTAGGCCATAACTTGAAAACTTCAGCAAAATGACTTGGTTCGAGAAAGAATCTCAACAACAAAATTGAGAAAGGAACCCCAAGCAATTTAGTAGAAGTAGAGATGGTCGATGGGAAATTCTGCAATATCTGATCAGCTGTGGTGCATATCATTGAAAAAGAAAACCCCATAGTAACTCCAAGCAACCCACAATGATCCTTAGTCCTTAAAATCCTATTAACTTCAGAAAGTGTCTCAGAAAATGAACCACCAAGACCAGTAGCTTTCTCTTCAGACATAAAACTGCTATAAATTTGTTGCTGCACGGTATTCCTTGCAAAATATAACAAACTATTCATCGGCATCCATTCACAAGGGCAGAATCCAATCATATCGCAACAACCTTTAAGTCTCTCTGATATCAAAAGCTGCGTCAGGGAACACAAAAGTCCACCTTCAACCTAGCAAAAAAATCAATCAAGTACTTACAGCCAGGTATAGAAGAACCTGAGTTGTCTGCTTTAAACAGTGTATAACAACATAATCACATCTGAGTACCATAAACAATTAAAGATGAACTGCTTACCTGAGTTTCCAGGAGATACTTTAATGTGGTAGAAACATACAATGATATCATTGACTTCTCGGGCAATGTAAAAGAACCAGTTTCAGAGCTAAGTAACCTCAAGCACTTCTCCAGTACACAAACTATGAAAGGGCTAAAATTGGGAAATGTATCTGCAAGAAGCATCATATTAACTCCAGAAGAAAATGCAAAGCCTATTTCGATAGAAATGAAAGGACTACAATGAAGCAGGAAGATTATCCATTGTTACTATGATTATGAGTAAATAATAGCAATAAGTAGATATTGGTAATTATAGTGTCAGATATATTGTTTAGGCAAGACTTACAGCTAAAATAGCTGCAATTTCAGGGGAAACAAGTAACTAAAAGTAATCTAGTTTCATTAGGGATTAATGCATCATCTTTTGACGCAACAATGAGAATCATACACCTGAGTCAGTCAACAGCAGCCTTAAATAAACAGAGAGGGTCTGTGTTTTCCATATAGAACCACTAGTAAACCTTTCACCATGTAAATCCACCAACAAAACCCAAACCTGACATCAATATTGACAAAACCAATTTAAAAAAAAAACAGTTCACAGAAGGTGATTTTAACAGCAGACCTCGGAAAGAAAGGGACAATGTAAATATCTTTGATATGTCCTTTAAATTGAATACTAGGGCATCAACAACTCCCAGAATCCGGATAACTTTCAAAATTGCTGGTCTATCATAAATCAATTGCAGATCAAATTAAATTCCAGACTAATAAGAAAAAACTCTTACAAGGTTCCCAGATGTCAGAAGCACGGAAAGTACAAACACAGGCCGGTTCCAAGAACGGGAAATTGAATCAGTAAAATATTGTGCTAACCAAAGGTAATTCTTAATAACTACCTAGGACTAGGATAAATGTATGTCACTTGACACTAGCAAAGTAAATCTTTTTGGAGTTTTCCTTGACTGTGACAAGGCTGGAAATGCCATGTTAGACAGGTGCAGGCTACTGATCTTGCAGAGAAATTCAAGGCAAGAAACATTGATTTTTTCTCTTATTTCCTTCAAATTGAACCAACTTCAATTTTAATTGATGGATCAGATAGAAAGTATGAAACAGATCCAAAAGATAACAGTGTTATTAGGTAACTATCGCAATAACCCAGACTACATCCAAACTGGAAATAAAACAAATATAATGTGAATTACCTGTAGAAACCTCTAAATCACGGATATAGCCCCTTAAGAGATCCAAATATTTGAACAAGTTGTTCCCAGTAGTAGAAACTGCATCGCAAAGAAAAGAGATGACAACTGAAGACAACTTTTGGAATACTTCAATCCCATGTTTTTGACCATCAATAACCACACTGGTATAGCCAGGTATAAATAGAAACCAAGCAGAAATTTCCCTTGGATTTCTGTCAAATGCACCTGTACTCAACATGGCTGCTTGTGCTAAAGAGTAAGCCTGATCTTTTATGTCTCTTATTGGTGAATACATAAACAAATTGATAAATGAATGAAGATACTTGTACATCAATGGTTGGGTTCTGATGGAAATCTGAGACTTGTTGGACCCAACAACTTGTTCTACAAGCAGTGACAGCATAGACTGCTGCAAAATTGTAGGTAGTGCTAAAGGATTGCTTGGGAGAACTTTAAAGAAGTCAAATGATCCTTCCACAGCAGTAGGCAGAGTCCGCTGCATAAGAGAAAGACAGCACCAATAATTAGGAACAGACCTAAACTCACTTCTTTTCACTTTTTCCAGAGAGGGTAGTGAGAGCCTATGGAATTGGAAGGGTGGTTTATCCCTTTTCTTCCAGTAAGACTTTCAATCATAAAGAGACATGCAGTGTGTTTGGATTGTAAATTAATTGAGATACTTTTATTTTTTTGTGATGTGATGCATGTGAGATAAAAAGGTAATTAAGAAGATAAAAAGGTGTATTGGAAATTGTAATGGTGATGTAAACAAATATATTTGAGCAAATAATCTCCTGTCCAAACACACTCGGCTTCTCAAGAACAAGGGATCATAGTGAATGAGCCACAGCTTGGAGTGGTAGACCTAGATCCCTTCTGCCACAAACAACCATCTAAATGTGGCAAACAGAGGTCGAAGACTGTAGATGCTCAGAAATGCCATCTTACTCTTCTGTCTAGTAAGTTTCAAACAATTACTTCAGAGTTCTCCTATAATGCCATAGCATGAGCTAATGCTACATCAAATTCCATTTTCCTAAATTTGAGCTCACTACAAAAGGTAGTATCATTCCAGCAATTACATAATTAATTTCACAATTAAGTATAGTTGTTTGTCGCTAAATTATGCATAAACTGATGTTAATGCATGCAGTTGACTCAGGGCATATGGCTGTTTATTCAGCAATTCATTGTCAGCCTTTTCCTAAGAGTTAACTTGTCCAAAAATCATTGTAATGGTTATGATGTCATTTACATTGAGTAAGTAATGTAACAAAGCAGGCAGATGCTCTCAGGATATTCATGCTGTAGGTTCAGCCTTTTTAATTTTAAGTTGAGGAAGCTGTTTAATTTCTGTACTCATCTAAATCTATTTGAAACTTTTATTCAAACATTTAAAAACTGAACTTCATTAGCTAGGTATTTCAACTCCGGTCAAGCAACAGACTCATTTAACAATCATATAAAGGCATTTCATCCTCATTTTGTGCTCTTGCTGTGTCATGAAAGATGCTTATCTTATCTCTCATGATCATGCAGATCCAAGATTTTCCATATAGAACTTCTTTGCCTAAGAGGCACTACTTGCAGCCAGGACATTAGGGATTGTATTGATTGTTTAGCAGCATTCAAAGGCATTTTAAGGACTTGATAACTTTTGTGAATATTAAACAACAGAACATGTTTCCTAATGTGAGACATTGGTAAGTACGTATTATGTGAATAGTGGATTCCTTTACTGTTCCACTAAAAGCAACAATAAATGAGTATCTTACATGATAAATTCTGAGAACATCAAGCAACTTTGAGTAAAAGTATGTGTCCCCATCTTCAGTTCTGATATCTACACTGGAGCATCCCTGCAAACCCCAAATTTCTAGAACAGGTTTCAGGAGGTCAACTCCACTATTCAGCTGATCCTCAACATCCTCTTCTGACACTCCATCATTCTCAGTCAAAGCCCCTTCAGTGGTTGAACTAACCCCACTGACGAGAATATCCATGTCCTCATCCACGCTATTCATCTTCAACTTCTTCTTCTTGTGCAAATTATGCTCGACTGTAACATCTACATCTGCAGCCCTCTTCATTCTTGATGCAGGACTCTTGCAGTAGCCACTGAGTGAAGAAAGTAGTGATAATAGCACCTGGGGATCAGGAAGTAAAATCTGGACTACATTCTGAACATCTCGCTTGAAAGATGCCCACTTATGCATCACTTGATCACTGGAACTGGACAGATCATTTACAGAGCCAATTAAAAAGTCGAGAAGCTTTAGTTCTCCGATACAAGCCTCAGAGTTACATGTTTCACAAGAGGATCAGAGTGAAGCAACCCTTTATTCATTACCAATCGGGTGAATGGGCGTGGCCCTATGCACTTCATAATGTCTTGGACTATCAGATTGTCAATGGATGGGGGCTCCTGAGACTGAGAGTTAACATAGGCACATGTAAATCCATCACCAACTGAGGACATGACATCTGCAGCCAGAGAAATAGCAGAAAACCTGCAACTATTTCAGTCGCAACAAAGGAAATAAATCAAATACCCAAAGTCAAGTAAAAAAGCCAAATATCTAACCAGTTAGGTGATGCCAGGTCTTCAAGATTATGAGGGAAGTTCTCCAAGTATGCTGACCCAAAGGCCGGCCTCCCTTTTACAATGGCCAAAAGCAGGTCTTTGTGGTACTCAACCTCTGTGGGTTTGAGCTTCTTCATAAAGATCCACTAATCGCTTCACATTTCCCTTCAAAGGATTAGGCTGCCTCTCTAAATCTGGCATCAACCCGTTAGAAGGATCCGTACACACCATTACTAGCACACTATGCGCCACCTCAGCAGCAAGCCCACCATCCTGCCTCCCTGAAATGCTTATCAATTGCTCCAGAGTAGCACTCCCAAACAACACGCTTCTTAGGCCCGGAGGCACCAACGACTCCGGGACAAGTACTCTATTCCGCAACGTCAGAAGAACATAAACCACAATCTCCTCATCATCAGTTCCCAACCCACGAAGCACCCCTGAATACATATCCTTCTGCTGCAAAATCCCTCTCAACAGCCGCGGATTCCCCACTTCCAAAAATGACATAGCAAAACCAACAAATTCCTTCCTCGTCAAATACCTCCTCATCCCCTCATTCCCCCTCGCCTTCCACTCAGCAAGCTTGGAGAAATTCCCAGTTTTAAAATCAAAACCCTTTGCCACCTCCCACGCCAAACCCGGCCCACGCCTAACTATAGAAGCCAACAACAACAAGACAGCTTTCTGCCTTTTCGCATCTTTACTGTTCAACTCCTCGTACAAATCCCCCATTTTTCCCTCAGTAATTACACGCGCAAACTTATCTAAAGCGCTACTAACAAAACTATAATTACTGACATCTTTATCACTATCTTTTCCAAAAGGATATCTGAAAATTGCCGAAACTAATTTCAAACAGTCGGAAAATCCGGGCTTGCCTTGCCGGAGCTCCCAAGCTTGTTGGAGTTCGACGCATTTTGGTGATGATTGGATGTAAAAGGTGAGAAATTGTGGTCCAGAATCGGATTTGAGGATCTTTATGAATTCCTTTGAGGCGTCTGAACAGAGTTTTGATTGCGTAGAAGTTAAGTTCCGCAAAAGCTCTTTAAGCTTGGCCTGGTGAGATGCCGCATTCACGAATTCTAGAGTTTTTGGTTTGTTATCGCCTTCGTCCTCCTCCATCTCGGCGGAAGAACGGCCGACGGAAAGCCAAAAAGACTAGCCTGATTTCCAATTGGACTCTGTTGTTACTCGGCTGACCGGCGGGTATAAACCCTAAACCATAAACCCTTTTTCTTGAGATGACATGACACCAACCTGTAGCTGCTTTTATTCTGAGTTAATTACACGGAGGCCCTTCACGTCTTCTCCAATATCATTCTAATGACAACTTTTTTGGTCATTCTCAAACCTTAGCCACTTTATCCCTATATTACATTTTTAACAATTAAGCTATTTATCAAGAAACTTTAGTAAATTTAAAAGCAAAGTATACATACGCTTGTAATAAATGTTTCAAGATAATATCAAGGGCTTGAGATTACGCCCTTAAATTGTTGAAACTCCTTTTCTTTTCCTTTAGTTAATGATACTTATAGATTTTATTTGGATAATATATATTTTCTAAATAAATAATTTAAGTGTGTCGAGACACTCGGCTTAAGAGCCATAATATAGACTTCATTAACGCATGGGTATATTTTCAATCCTCGATTTACTTCATGGTGTGATATCCATTATCATGAGTCGGCAAATAAAATCGTGCTATATATACAAAAATATGGCAAATTAACCAAATGTAATTCATTGACTCATGCGGACTCTAGCTTTAAATTCTTAAATCAAGCGATTGTTTTAACTTCTTAGTAACTTTAGGTAAATATAAATCACTTTCAAGCATGAGGATGCCTACAATTTCTATTTAAAATTTCTCTCAAGAGATAAACTATGCTTCTTGCTTCAGGAAGTAGGAAAACATGATTCATGTTTTAGCATCTCAAGAAGGGTTAAGCCGAATTTTTTTTTTTTTTGTTACAATAATAACATTTATATAATCTAAACTATCATATTATACAGAAAGGATGAGAAGTCTAAAGAGACTGTTTAAGCCGCGTTCCATTTACTTTACAAATTTTGCAAAGGTCATCTCCCGCGTGCTACAGTATCTTCTCCAAATTCCATTGGTTTAGTTCTTTGTCCATCTGAGGGACCATTACCTGACTGACTAATAATGAAGCGTACAGCTTTGGTATAGCTGTATGAGTCAGGCTGACAAATTATGAGGCAGACAAAGTTTCTGGTACAAGTCCGACAAAAACCAAGACTGAGCACAATAACAAGAAGAGCTAATGCAAAGATGCCAAGGCCTCTCATCAAGTATTTCAGTTCCTTCTTCAAGTTATGTTTTGGAATTGCAAGTACTCGGCCCTCTTTCTCAGCCAAAAAGTACTGAAAAAAGTGTAGGACATTGCTCAGAAATACTCCCATAGTCGAGCAGTTTTTGTCTAGGGGAAAGTTTTCTGCCATTTTGATGGTTTTCTGCTTGGTGGAGTTTCTGGTGGGGGGTAGGTTTCTGCCAGTCCCACTAACTATCGCATGACTTTGGTATCTCAATAGGACTGCCAAACATTCATAATAAAGTAATGCTGTTTTCTTTCCAATCGATTTTACCTTCTTTTAAGGTTTTCTTTCTCAAGTGTCTCTATCTAAGGTATCGGCATATGGACTACTTTGAAAACTAGTTAGCTCAATCCAACACATTCGTGTTTATTTGACTGGTTATTTTCGCAGTTCTCAGCCGCCATTAAAACTTTAAAAAAGAGGCCGGATGAAGAAAAATACATGCATTAAAAACCTAGTACTAAAGGTACAATTATTACTTTGAGAGCTTCGAAAAGATTTTTTTTTTTAAAGAAGATGTTTTATTTTAAAAACTGTGAGATTATTATTGTAACATAGACATGTCTGCCTTGCATCCCTCGAGTATAATAAAAAGAGAGGGTGAGGGATTGTAAAAGTCTCTCTTCTTGCCACATATAATACTCCCTCCGTCCCATTTTGATAGTTTTGTTTCTTTTTTCACACAGTTTAAGAAAAAATAATTAACTTTGTTGGAAAAGTAAATTTAGATTGCTATTTTCTTAAAATATCCTCACATTAAATATGGTACAACTTTATGGGAACTTAAATTAATGGTAAAAAAAGAATCAACTCTCTGAGATAGGTTTATAGTAACAACTACTTACATTGAATAAGGGTATTTTAGAAAAATTAAAATACAATTACATTCTTTAATTGGAAAGTGGACTACAAATTGAGACAGATAAAAAAGGAATACAAGACTATCAAAGTGGGACGGAGGGAGTATTCTTTTTATTGACAAGTGGCACATCTCTCATTTCTTTTTCACTCCATTTATTCCTTTTGTTTGGACTCAAAATAGTCCAAGATATAGTTGCTTCTAGATTTACTTGATAGTTACATAAATGACAATTCTGTTATTAAGCTATACTTATGTCAATTATGTCTTTGTTATGTGATTAGGAATGGTATGTGAGCTTATTGATGATGTAGTCTTTGGACCATACAATGTGAAATTTGTAGTAATAGGGACATAAATAAGAGTATTTTGGAGGGCCAAGATTGTGCCTTACACAGCCTAATTCCCCTGGTATAAAGCACATGAGAAGAAAGCTAAGTTACTACAACAACCCATGCTTTTGATACATGTATTGTTTATATTTTTGACAATTATCAGTTTCCATTTTTAGTTAAATTTTTGCTCCACTGTTTTCTTTGATTAGCCAAAAATTATAAACATTATTTCTCCCAATTCTTTTCTTCTTTCTTTTTCTGCCTCTGCCTTTAATCCTCATCTCCCTATATTTCTTCAACTTTCTTTTTTCCCTTTCAAATTTTTTCTTTATAATTAATTATACTCAAATTGTTTTCTTTCTATTTTTTAGGTGATTATTATTGACCACACAACAATCAACTGATTTATACTATTACTTCTTCTTCTATTAATTTTAAATCTTTAATCCAATATTTTGCTTTTCTCATTTTTTTCCTTCATCTTAATTTTTCTCTACCTTTCCTCCTTCCACTCAGTCAATACATCCTTTCTTATTTCTTTTATAATTAACTGAATGCATGTGTTTTCTTGTAAGAGAAAGAATATTTCTTTTCTTTCCTTGTTAAAAAATCATGATTCATTATCATCTCTTTCTTTTAGGGGAAACATAGACAATAGATCTTTTATCTCTTCTACTCCTACTGTGTGGTATGTTCCATTTTATTTTTATTCCTTTTTTTTCCCACTTCACTCTATCAAATATGGACTTTAAGTTTTTTTTTTTTCATTAATTGTATTTTATTTAGCCTTTATCATTTTTCCTTTTTTGCCTCTTTGTCCTGTTACCACGGTGTATTAATTTATTTTGGCTTGATCTCCTTGATATTCATTTAGCCTTCCATTATTTAGGTCTAAAATTTGATTCTCCATATGCGAGGTTTATCTTGAATCTAAATACAAAATGTGTATTTTGCAACTATGATGTTTTAGTTCCCTTTCAATACATAATTGAATCTTGCACTTTTTAGTAAATCTTTGGTACTAAATTTCTGTGCCGTTTCTATGCATTGGACAGCCTTCCATTCGAATTTCTTACAAGTTTTGTTGCGAATTTGTAGGATGGAAATTTTTACATGATGATGTCTCGTTTGACAAAAAAAATAGTGGAAAAAATTTACGTGTCTGTAATTATAATATTAGCGTGTTATTTGAACTTTGTGAAGCATATATCATTTATATTAACATTGTTTTACATTTCTCAATTCTCATGTGTTTGGTTTTTGAATTATTTACTGTTGTTTGTCCATACAATACAGTAAGAAAAATCTCTACTGCATCACAATAAGTAAGTTGGAGCAAACTTTTGGTACGTTCCACTAAAAATAAACATTATTTTTTAGACTCATATTTTGACAATTGTAATTGCTCTTTATTTGAGAGCAAATTATAATGTGATCAGTTTTAGTTAGAAATCTGTAGGTGAGCCTAAGCTGGGCTGACACAACCGGGTTCCTTCTGGTACAGCTACAATTCCCCAGTTTCATCCTTTTTTTTTTCCTTTTTTTTTTCATATGTTAAGTGTTTCTTTTTGTTTGCTTATTTTTCTCTACGAGGAATAAGACGAAGATCTGCAATTGCAAATGTTTTGTCATTTGAATTATTGTTTGACCTGATGACATGCTGAAATTTTTTGACAAACAGCTCAGCTATCAATTCCAGTAAAGCCTTCATTATTATTTCTACGAAAAAAAAGTCTGTTTAACTTATATACAATTATTTTCGAAAAAGTTGAACGCTTAAAAACCTTTGTGCAGAAAACCAGAAATGAAAAAGGCTTCATAAATCCTGATCAACTGACAACCTTATTTGAATGATAATAAAATAAATCCCATGTCCCAGCAATCCGCATTCTGGTCAAATTACCTGATCCCACCTTATTTGAACAAATCCCCAAGTCTGAAGGACGCCCAACATCCAACACCCTGACATGAAAAGGACTTCACTCAAAACCACCAAATTAGCCCGCACGGCTCTCTCGCCCTTTTCTGCCTTCGCCCCACAAAACATTTCTACGTTTCCTTTCTTTCTTCTTCCTTCTGTCTTGGATGATCAAAATCTAACCCAATTCTGTCTAATCCAACTCCAAAATCTCCAAATTCTTGAGGGCAAATGAAAGAGATTACAAACTTGAATTCTCGTAATCTAATCAAACAATCATCACCTTCACCGGCTCAAATTATCCCCCAGCGCCCCATACGTAAAGCCAATTAGGACCCGTCTCCACCTCCAGCAGCTCATCATCATCTCCTCCACCTCGAAGCTTCAATCATCTTTCTCAGTTTCAAGATAAATCCATGCAAAACTTCCCCCTTGTTACTAGGTATAATAAAACCATAGGAATCAATAAACATACTATATATTTGATCTCTAGTTCCTCCTCTTCATGTGTAAATCGAAGAAGCAACTAAGCCAGGATGTGATCGAGCCCTCCACCATGCCCAGAAATTCATCTTCTCAGCGATCAAACAAGTCATCCCACAAATCCTCCTCCTCCTCGTTTGCAGAACCTTCATCGTCCCTCAGCAATTACAACAAATCCATCCCCAGCACCGGATCCAGCTTCTACAACCGAGATTCATGGCGGACCACCTCCAATTCCAGCTCCGGGAATCCTCCCTTAACCCGACTCCGCGATAATCTTCCCGAACGAACCAACGTCTACGACATATCC